CAACCCAGAGGGACAGCTCGCGAAGATGTATTAATCTGTGGCATATTAGAGGGAGGATCGCTATGTATTTTAGACAGTTGGACTTCTTTTGGTTATAAGCTCTAAATAGCTAAGGGATTAGTAGTATCGTTTTGCTATATTGTTGATGCTCTGTTTTGTTAGAGTCTTGTAGTTATAGAGTACAGATGTGCGTCCCTTCTGTGTGTAATGGTACATATGGTCGAGTCTATTCGAGCTAATGCGTTACGTACCGGCATGTGTTTTCTAGACGTACCCTCAGTCAGTAATGTTCAATGCTGGAATTATAGATGTCTATTGTGGAATAGGAATTCTTTTCGTCTCTTCTTATCTCTTTGCCATTTTAGGGAGCTTAGGGAGCGAAGTTCGAGTAAAAGGTGATCGTCTCGTTGCTAGCCACTCTTTAGATGCAGGCTTTTAGGTTAGCGCTTTATTACTCGTTTCTCCTGTATTTTGTTGGCATCGGAGAGCTAAATACTTGTCTTGCGGCACTACAGCGGTGAACCTGTGAGAGGCTCACACATTAGATTGGTTTGTTTGTTTTCCGTTGTCGTGAACCGAGTGTGCTGACAACCTTTTTTATCCATACTAATGTGGCACCGTAGGTTATGGTAGACAACAGAAGACCAGTAGTACGAGAGATGAGATCCGTTGATCTCGTCTGGTGTATACTTTAGCTCCATCGTCTCTCTTTTGTGCGTCTTCTTCAATCTCCACTCTGTACTTGAGGTTAATCGGCTAATGATGTTATAAGTTGTATTTTGATAGCTTTCTGTGCGCTAATTACAATACATGTTTAAAATTGTCTGTTCTGTTATTAAATTTTTTTTACCTACATGGTGTGGATGAAGTAGTTTCTGTTTCTTGTGGTAGGAGCTTAGATCATGGTGTATTTGTTTGCAAGTAAGCGTCGGACAGTATAGATGCCAATTCTCAGATCTAATAGGCTCACTGCTATATTGCAGTAGTGAAAGCAGCGAGAAGGGTGCAATAGCGAGTAGGTGGCGCTCGGGCTCTCGTGTGATGATATTTGGTAGTGTGTGTATGGAGAGAAAGGGTAATGTAAGAGGAGGGATGAAAGTGTGAATAGGTCTCATCCTCTCCAACAACCCAGAGGGACAGCTCGCGAAGATGTATTAATCTGTGGCATATTAGAGGGAGGATCGCTATGTATTTTAGACAGTTGGACTTCTTTTGGTTATAAGCTCTAAATAGCTAAGGGATTAGTAGTATCGTTTTGCTATATTGTTGATGCTCTGTTTTGTTAGAGTCTTGTAGTTATAGAGTACAGATGTGCGTCCCTTCTGTGTGTAATGGTACATATGGTCGAGTCTATTCGAGCTAATGCGTTACGTACCGGCATGTGTTTTCTAGACGTACCCTCAGTCAGTAATGTTCAATGCTGGAATTATAGATGTCTATTGTGGAATAGGAATTCTTTTCGTCTCTTCTTATCTCTTTGCCATTTTAGGGAGCTTAGGGAGCGAAGTTCGAGTAAAAGGTGATCGTCTCGTTGCTAGCCACTCTTTAGATGCAGGCTTTTAGGTTAGCGCTTTATTACTCGTTTCTCCTGTATTTTGTTGGCATCGGAGAGCTAAATACTTGTCTTGCGGCACTACAGCGGTGAACCTGTGAGAGGCTCACACATTAGATTGGTTTGTTTGTTTTCCGTTGTCGTGAACCGAGTGTGCTGACAACCTTTTTTATCCATACTAATGTGGCACCGTAGGTTATGGTAGACAACAGAAGACCAGTAGTACGAGAGATGAGATCCGTTGATCTCGTCTGGTGTATACTTTAGCTCCATCGTCTCTCTTTTGTGCGTCTTCTTCAATCTCCACTCTGTACTTGAGGTTAATCGGCTAATGATGTTATAAGTTGTATTTTGATAGCTTTCTGTGCGCTAATTACAATACATGTTTAAAATTGTCTGTTCTGTTATTAAATTTTTTTTACCTACATGGTGTGGATGAAGTAGTTTCTGTTTCTTGTGGTAGGAGCTTAGATCATGGTGTATTTGTTTGCAAGTAAGCGTCGGACAGTATAGATGCCAATTCTCAGATCTAATAGGCTCACTGCTATATTGCAGTAGTGAAAGCAGCGAGAAGGGTGCAATAGCGAGTAGGTGGCGCTCGGGCTCTCGTGTGATGATATTTGGTAGTGTGTGTATGGAGAGAAAGGGTAATGTAAGAGGAGGGATGAAATAGTGAATAGGTCTCATCCTCTCCAAAACAAGACCTTGATATAAAACCGCTAAATACACAGTTACTGTTTGGCAGCAACAGAGTCCTGGGGGCATCCTGATTCTTTAACTTTCAAGTTTCAAACTCCTTTCTACTCTTTGTCATTTAATAGAAATACATTAAACTTGTGAGATTTAAAAAAACAGCTGCTTTTCCATACATTAAAGCCGCAATGCTAGTTTTACGTCAGTCTTTATTCAGCGTTCAACTGCAGTTTCTTCAGAAATTGTCTTCCCTAGTTAGCACATTTGTCCATTTGTCTTTCACATTATCATTTAGGTTTTATTTGTTGACGAAAAATGTGAAACATGAGATGTAAGACGAGCAGTAGGTGTAGTTCTGTTTGTCTTGTTTCTCTGTTGATGCCAAGGTGTCAGTCATCGATGGCTCCAGCCCTTTTGCAAGTGCATATGACCTTGACAACATAATCAGGAGTTACCAGGAACGAAACTGTAAGTTGACAAAGGCTATTGTTTTGTTGACTATATTGAGTTACTAAAACCACAATCATCTCAAGCTGAACCACCACATTTGAGTGTGACATTAACTCACAGCATTATTACATCCGATGTGTCACAGGTGCATTTTGTAAAATGGGACAACTCTTGCTCGATTTTTATTTAATTTAATTATTTTTTTTCCCTTTTTTCTACCATAGTGACCACAGTACTGTCGTGTCCAATGCCTGTCTGGACTGTGGGAAGAGCTGCTGGGTCCCCCTTTCAGCTTAATGCTGAGATCCGTTACCCCATAGAGGTCATTAGATATCCTTTAACAAATGCAGGAGAGTGTGTGTGTGTGTGTGTGTGTGTGTGTGTGTGTGTGTGTGTGTGTGTGTTTTAACATAGAATACATTAGAGGTGTGCGTCAACATTGATAATGCCAGTTCTAAAAGGAATAGAAATGTTCTCCTTTTTAGATTCCGTTACGAGTTGTGTTTATTGCTTTTCAACTACAGACACGACGAAAAGACTTTCTGCCGTGATTACCTTAGACCTCGCCAAGTTGAGCCTGGAACATGTTTACTATCTGTGTTTGCGTGTTCTTGCTTGTGCTAGCTGTATTAGCCGATTAAGAGTTTCTAAGTACTATATAAACATTTAATAAATGGGTTATAACACACTATAATGTAGTTGTAAAAAGTTATAGGAACATTTATAAGTATTTATTAATGTACAGCTCACATTATGTTTTACCGTGTGCCTACTGGAGGAGTTATCATTGTTGACAGATACATTAATAAAGACTTATATCAGCCTACAACTGCATTATAGTGTGTTATAAACCATTTATTAACAGATTATATACTGCTTTAACCAGGGAAAAGTGACTATAAATTTAGTTATATTCTTTATATATGTTTATTTATCATTTTTGCAGGCAACCTATATTACAGTATGTTCACTAAAAATGGAGAGCAGAGCAGCCGGAGGACATCAGAGGAAAACCAGACCAATATTTTCTCCATTAAATATCATTCAGTTTCACCCAAATCACTGATAAAGTGATAATAATCAAGTCAGACCTGGTCCCCAGAAACACTCCTGTAGAAAGTCTGGCTGTTGCTAACTAATGAATCTTCGCTTTGTATTGCTAAAAGGTTTTATTGGCGGGTGAATGTCTTTGTTAAATAGGGGTAAAATATATATACAGTATAACTTCATTATTTCTGCCTTAACCGTCTCCATTCACCTATCGTCCTGGCTTTTGGGAAACCATTAAATTTGCCTGGATTCAATACGTCAGTGTCCTCCTCATCTTCCTCTGGGTCTTTGAGCGCATACAGAGATTTGTTTTCCAGAACCAGGTTCTAACCACCGTACCCATACCGGTGGGAAAACCTCACCTGTCATGATGCAGTGGTGGTGCTTTGACCTCCAGGTATACAAGAACCAGCAGGTTTATTTTTCCAGAGTGGATATTACATGTCTCACAATGACAGATGCCCTTTGACTGAAATGTAATACCAAATCAATGGAAGTTTGAGTTTTAGGTAATAGCCATTTGGTCTGTTCTGTAATAACATTATGAGAACATAAAGATCAAATTCTACCAGCTATCTCAGACCAATAGTGTACAGTCTTATATCGGAGGTCTGAACTTGTGACAGCTTTAAAACAAAATGTAGAGAAACTAAATTGGACACTGTTCCCATATGAAGCAAATGTCATGCGTGAAGTCAACTGCATTGAAGGTGCTTCATGTTGACTTTTATCAAGGACCAGTGTGTAGGATTTAGTGGCATCTTGTGGTGAAGTTGCACATTACAACTAACTGAACACCACTCACGTCTGTATGTACAACCTGGGAATGAGAACGGGCTGTGAATGAGTAAGAGAAACTATGGGAAACTTGTGAAAAACACAAAAGGCACTATCTGCAGCCAGTGTATGGTTTGTCCCTTTTGGGCAACTGTAGAAACATGACTGTTCAAAATTCATTCTAATTCCAAGGCAATGAAAACATGATCCCTACATTCAGATGATTATACAGATAATGAAAACATACCTATGAATATTATATTCCATTTCTGGACCTTTGACAAGTTGAGCAAAGAATCTCCCAAGAATATGCTGTATTCCTTTAATAATTTTCCTGTATTTTATACAAACATGCAGAGAGACACACAAATAATTTATATTTTAACCCTTTCTTGGACAGGTTTCTACGCAGACCCTCCTCTACAGAAAAATGCATTTCTTCTTTTACTACTGTTTGAAGCCATGGAAATATATAGAAAATACACATAAAATTTCTATATTTTTACTATTTCTATATCTATGACACTTTGTGACAGCAATTAAATAAATTCTTTGTTGAAGTGCTCATTCACTTTTGTATTGTACATAGTACAGCTTTAGGTCATAGACAATAAACAATTTGTACAATTTAACATTTGTACTTTATATGTTCTTTAACTGTAATGCTTTAATATTTTTTATGACTTTACTTTTCGAGAAATTCTATTGAGACATGTAACCAAGGTAAACCGCAAAGAAAAAACAGAAGAAAAGGATAACAGGACGCACAGCAACATCAATACATCAATAACCCCCCAAAAAAACAGGAAAGAAAAAAAACCACACACTGAAAAGGTTACAAATATTATATAAAACATAACAAAGATAGCAGACAACCTACACACCATTCACCCTCAAATCCCCACACCGTTCCAGCCATACATTCAAATTCATATTATTCACAGGTATTTCTCTAACCTGTTCTATCACTGACCTCCCTGATCCTCTGATCCTGGCACTGCCAACCCTGAAATCTGTTTTGCCACCCCATTATCGTTCCCTCTTCCACCCCACACCGTCTTTCAGAGGATGTAGCAGGCTCCGTTTTAAAGCTACAGTGAAGATACTGGTGTCATATGAAACTAAATGACGGGAAGGGGTCTAAATAACACTCCGATGTTAGGCTAAATTTTGGCGATGGAAAAACTGCCATTTTCAAAGGGATCCCTTGATCTCTGACCTCAAGTGTCTGAATGAAAATGGGTTCTGTGTGTACCCACAAGTCTCCCCTTTGCAGAAATGCTTAATGCTAAAACATGCAGTTTTTTGCATGTGGTATAACAGTGTTATTTTCACCTAGTGTATTGAATATTTCTGCAGACTGGCGTCCATAAACACTGTTGGGAATGACTGGAAAGATGAGACACATACTTGATACCACCCTGGCATAAGTCAAAAAAGTCTGGACATTAACTAGCACTGCCATCTATATTCATTTATTTGGTTGATCTAGCCTGGCCGCTCTCCCTTTTGTGACATTACCCCCAGTTCATCTTTTTTGAGGTGAACATGAAACTCCTTCACAAAAATGATTCCAGATGTTACTGTTGTGTATATTTATGTATATATGAAATCTAGTTTCTGCATTATTTTCCTGCACATTGATTCACTGGGTTCTCCAATCACAAGTTGTTGGAGCCTTGTTAATATGTGACTGATAAACTTCTGACAATAGCCCATACCACATATTGTCAGCAGGCTACACCTCACAGCAAAAACTAATGTTTGACTGAGACTATGGGAAGCTGTTTTTAACACTGGCCTGATATACAGGTTTTAAACCACACCTTATCAAGAAAAACTAGAATTACCTGGTATGCCTAACTTATGTACAGTGTATTCCAAAGAAGACAAAAATAGGTGTGCCAAGCTTGTGGCATTGTACTCAAAAAGACTTGAGGCTGTAATTTCTGCCAAAGGTGCTTCAACAAAGTTTTGAGCAAAGGCTGTGAATACTTATATCCTTGCAACCCTCTATGAATTTTTGGCAACCCCTAATGGGGGTCCCAAACCCCCAGGTTGAGAGCCACTACATTATCTCACTAGGGTCTGGGCATATTATTGGTAAAATTCGCTATGTCAGCCATAAATATCAGTGGTTTAAAAATCATATGGTCACTGTTTAATGATAAATCCATGGCACTATCCATGGTCCTCATTGTAATCCGTATTTCTCTCTGTTCGTCCCTATTCTATAATCCCAATAATATCATTATTTTATTTTTAAGGCCGCTATGCTATCTGATGTAAATGTGGCTACTGCTGCCATTGTTGTGTATGTTAAAACTGCAGTAGGTAATTTTTAATAATATTGATGAATTAATAAATACCTAATGGTATTTGCAAGAATCCACCATGCCTGGAAAAAAAACAATTAGAGCAAAGAAAGGCAAAAAGACACTTTGGGTTGGAAGCTTGAAGATAGTGTGTGTGTGTGAAATCTGGAATCAGCCAATCCGTGCCTAAATTTTGGCTGAAAAAGTATTTTGAGGCCACAATGACCTTTGACACCAATTTATTGTCCGACCAATTGTGAAATATAGACATCAGTTCTTAGGTTATGGCTAAAAACATGTTTTGTGAAGTCACAGTGACCTTCTAATCAAAAAATGTATAGGACCTCACCCTCCCGCTCCAAACGTGTAGGAGAAACTACAGTGGCTGGGAAACTCAATCAAACTGAAATGTCCCATCCAGAACCAGTGTTTGGTTTGTTCTTTCAGGGAACAAAAAAACAATGATTCCTATATTCAGGTGATTATAAACTTATGAAAACATACCTATGAATATTGTATTCCATTTCTGATAATAGATCCTCCTCAATGTTAAACACTGGACTTTTAAGAAGAATTGTACTGTACTCTGTGGGAGGAAAATCTGCAGTACACTAGGCAGTCATGGTTTTCATTTTCCCTCTGACTCACTGTCCCAGGAGATGTTTGTTAGTGTATATGCATGTCCACGTTTAGTTGGTTGTGTGTGTGTTCTGGACCAGTACCACTGTATTAGCTAATTTAAACCACTCAGTCTGCCAGTTTGGTTTGTGCCAGACAGTTCAGTAAGAGTCACACCCTGTTTCCTCAACTAAAGTCCCTAAAATTCTCATCTGCCCTTAAAAGGTTTACATTTTAGCCATTTTAAAGCCATCCTTATCTGGACTGATACAGTCTAAGTACAGCTATATGAATAAGGAAGAAGCAAAAAGGGAAACATATTTGACATTAATATTGTAGTAATAAAATAAAATATAATAAAATATACCATAGTGCTGAGCAGAGGTTGTGGTAATTGTCTTAACCAGCCAGTAGGCCTAATGTACTATCATGTGCTTTCTATTCATTTGCACGTCAGTATTTTGTGTTGTTTTTATCATGAGTACTTTCACACAGAACGTAAACATCACGCAGCACAAAAGCGGCGTGACTTTTTAGTGGATCGCAGTCGTTTTTTCTGAGCTCACGGTAGACCTGGTGATTGTTTCTGTTTTGAATAAATGACAAAAATGTTTCTCATTTTCGTGTCATGTTTATTCATCACGTCCCCAGTGTGTGGAGGCCTTAAGAGTCTACAGCCATGCCAGCAGCTCTGTGAGGCTGTATTAGCCACAGTGGTGCTTTGAGCTAAATGCTAATGTCAGAGAGAGTGGGACACCCCTAGAGGCAGAAATTACATATTGTACATTGAACAGTGGAAAGACTAACCAAGGGTTTTATTTGTTTCTATTTGAGTGTTAAGCCGTTACAAGGTCAAATGACTGTTTTTGTCTATGGAGTCTGGTCTACTGTTTCAAACTGATTCCACATCAGTGATTTAAAGCAAAGTCACCCCCATCCACTCCCCTGTCTTTATCCAGCAGGCATTTACTGGTGACCAAGGAGCTTTGACTTTGGCCGCAGAGAGCAGAAGGACAGGATATGAGTCTGGCTCATACAGGAACCAGATGCATCCTTTTTACTATTGTATTATTTTGCTCTGGCCGAATCTTATAATCAGTCTCTCTTCCTTCCAGTTCGCCAAGGCCCAGGATGGCTAAACTCGGCCCCATTCTTCTCAATTCTTACAGCTGCATATACGGCAAAAGAATATTGTTCTCTGGACCCTCGCAGCTTTTTCCAGAATTTTCAACCTTACAGTATTTTCTCCAGCATATATGAAGTCCTAAAAGTGCTACGGCTTTCTATTTCTATTTCATTTTCAACTTTTGTTTTCATTTCAGTTTAGTTTCTGTTATTTCCAGAGTGGGCTTGGGTTTTTCAGTTTAGTTATTACTGTTTAAAAATGATTAGCTTCAGTTTTTTAAAATTATAATAAGGGGGGCATTGGTCAGAGGAAAAATTTCAGAAGCTTAGAATAGGTAATACAATACAAACACTCACAGTCCCAGTGTAGACGTCCCAGTCTCGATTAACATATGCACCAATGCCTCCCAATGCTTGTGTTGACATATTTTTACCAAACTAAAGACATTTCCTGTATATTTTTATTTTATTTATTATATATGTATTATTATATACTTCAGTAATATTGTTTCAGTGAGTTTTCATTTTTTCTAGTTTTTATTTATTTTTTGCAGTTAGCAATATGCCAATATAAAAGGTTTTTTTACACATAGTTTTAGTT